ACTGGTCCATCCAATTGCAGGGAAATATGGCGTAAGTCAGCTGTTCGAATTCCAACTGCATGCGAGTGTCATAATAGTATTACGGGAATATTTTTAATGGCATTGCCACCAAATAAACCATATAATAGACGAACCATAAAACCTCATTCACATAAAAGATCCCCTAAAATATCACGACACACATGTTGATGCCGGTGGAGAGCAGTTGCACGAAAACAGTAACGGAAATAAACGATTCAATTGCAATGCGAAAGCTAAAAAGTGTTACGAAAACAATTAGTGTCTTGGCGGTCCAATTTAAACCATAATGAATACCCTACTCAAGCAAACCCTTGTAGTCCTCAATGCAACGCTGCAGTTGGTCAACACCCTCCGCATTGCCAATACGCGCAATACGTTTGCCCAGCAGGCTTGTATGGGCGGCGAGTATGGTTAGTGCCATAGCCGGAAATGAGGCGTTGGTGAGATTTTGAAAAATCAATAGTATGCCAGTAGCCTGATAGAGATGAGCCGTCACGTAATGCCCTTCTATGTCGAACGGAAAATATGCCGGATACATTAAGTGCCATTCACCTATAATGCCGGCAAAAATAGTGGCGGCCTCGAATGCGGTGAACTCGTAAACGCCCACTAGTTTTAAAAAATTCAGCACGTGTTTGGCGCGACGCAGAGTGTCGGACGCGTAAAACTGCGTAATGCGCTCATCAAGAGTCGCAATGAGGGCATAGATCTGCTCAATACCGGCTGCTGTCTTGATGCTGCACGCCAAAACAGTGAAATTAACGCAAATATTTTTGAAAATATCGGCTTTCTGTTCCATCTGGAAGAGTCCAATCATCAAATGTGCGGGATAGCCGCTGGTTACGAGTGTGTTGAGCAGCAAGGAGTAGAGATAATATAAGTATCTGCAACGACGGTTTGCTGCGGGTACCAGTCCGAGGCAACGTAGGTTCACATGGTGAAAGCAAAAAACCGTTAAACCGGAAGTTAGCAAATTATCGCTTATTGACATATATAAATGAAAATCGCTTTTGTTAATGACAGTTATGTAATCGTTAGTTACTTATTTTATTCTGCAGTCATTTGAATCACCTGTGATAATTGAGAGTAATTAAACTAATTAAACAACAATTACCGGCGTCTTAAATTATTTATTTTCATTGATAATTATGGTAATTGGATTGTAATTATACATACTGATGTATATTTACGACTTAGCAGCAGTTGGTAATGACATAGAGTAAGGTACGACAGTTTTTTTTCTTTGAGCACCCTTAAACAGATTGAAGTGTAAGACTTCCAGGTGTTGAAAATATGAAGTCGCGAGGTCAGCGAGCCGCATTGTTTTTCTACAATACGCAATTACTTCCCTTTATCGTTAGGAAGCTAGTGACAGAGGTTTGATGGACTGAGATTTTTAATAACTGAATAAGAACCTACATATATTCATCCCAATTACCATGCAGCAATAATTCTTTTTCGGATCTAGAGCGAAACACTCCGACACTGAGACTTACAGGGTGTGTCCCGAAAGTAATAGGACTGATGCTGCGTGCGCGCAGCGACTGGATTCAGTAGAGGGCGTTCCTAGAAGAACGAGCGGCTGGTCAGTTGTATCCCAACACATGGAAAGTCTGGACAAACATTTTCGCTCCACGTGTTTCTGTGAGTAGATGTTGCTTTAGAATGAAGTGGTGTGTTTCGGTGGCGCCAGGCCTTTTTGGAGGGCTGGGAAGAGGTCGCTGATGAAGACCGGAAGAATGAGCAAATCCAAAGTGAAGACGATGCTCATTGTCTTTTTTGACATACCAGGCATCGTCCACCATGTATTTGTTCCTGCTGGACAAATCGTCAACGTGGAACACCTCAAGAGACTCAAACGATGGATCAATCGGGTTCGACAAGACATCGCAACCGATTGAAAGTTGTACCACGATAACGCCCTGGCTAACGCCGCCTTTCTTATAAACAACTACCTAACCAAGGGTAGCATCTCAACTCTTCCGCAGCCTTCCTACAGCCCAGATGTGGCCACCGGACTTATTTTTGTTTCATTGCCAGAAAAGGCCAATGAAATCCAAGCATTTTTAGACGACAGAGGGGATCCAAGTAGCATGCATTTGGGCTCTCAAGGGTATTCCGGACAAAGCCTTCGGTGACGCCTTCAATGCTTGAAAATCGCGCTGGCCGCACTGCATCGACGCAGAAGAAGCATTTTTTTGAAAGTTTTTAAAGAATTGTAACGTTGGTCCAATAATTTTTTTTAAATCGACTCGGTACTATTACTTTCCGGACAAACCCTGCAGGCATAATTTGCAAATTTCGCTAGCCCAGAAAAACTAAAATAATTTAATAGCCTTAAAGGCACAAAACCAGCTATATGAAGAATGAAGACCGATTTTTTCAAAGCTGAGATTAAATCAGTTGATCATGAAGACTTTAAGCTGAAGCTTTGAATTACGCTTTATTAGCTATAGAACAATGTTTATTTTGACAATAATCAACTTCTAAAAACACAAACTTTGCTTGCTCCGTTTCTATTTCATCTGTACCACGAGCGTAAAGAGGGAGTATGCAAATTTCAAAGTCGCAAAGAAAGTACCTAAATTAACAGCAAACATGCCACCGGCAATGACGATTTGCTCACGCAAAGATTGCTCCGCGAAGATGAGTAGATTCTTCTTGAACGCTACACTCTGATCCATCCAGTTGCATGAAAAGATGGCGTAGGTCAGCTGCTCGAACTCCAACTGCATGCAAGTGCCATAGTAGCACAGCGGAAACACTTCCAATGGCATTGCAATCAAGAATACTACATAGTAGATATATGTGAATATGCCGTCAACATAGAAGATTAAATAAACAATGACCACACCCATATTGATGGCGGTAACCAGAATTTGCACAAAAGTGCCAAGAGAGCAGATGCGTTGAATTGCAACACGAAACCTAGAGACACGTGCGCATAATGTAAACAAAAACAAAGACACAGATATTAAATGTACATAACAACCACCAAATAACAGTAGTTTACTCTAGCAAAGCTTTGTAGTCCTCCACACACAGCAAGAACTGAGCATTGGACACCTGTCGGCGCACCGCCGCGGCGCGTGTACCGTGCCCCACACGAGCCAAACGCACATTCAACAAACGTACGTGTCCAGCCAACATCGCCAGTGCCATGGGTGGAAGCGTATCGTTGATGAGATTTTGGAAGATCTGCACAGTTACACCAATACACTGGTACAGATGCGCAGTTGCGTAACCCCAGACGCTACGCTCTACATCGAAGGGAAAATACGCCGGATACATGAGACGCCAATCGCCCAGAAAACCACCAATTATGGTGGCAACTTCCGAAGAAATCGCAGCGCCGAGTCCAATGAAGAGTACAAAGTAGAGCACACGCTGAGCGCGACGCACTGCGACCATTTTGTACAATTGGCCATCTGCTGGCTGTGTTATGTGTTTATCGAGCTTCGAGATGATGGCATAAATCTTTTGTACCTCCGCTAGGCGCCACCAAATTGCGAATGTCTTGATGCTACATGCCAGGCAGGTGAAGTTGATTGTCATACTCTTGAAAACATCCGCTTTGCTCTCACTTTTGATCAGGCCAATCATCAGATGCGTGGGATAGCCAACCGTTATGATTATATTCAAAAGTAGTGAATACACATAATACGAGTAACGGTGGAATTTCTTCGTTGGCGGCATTTGTCCCACATATTGCCAGGTGACGTCGTGAAAGTGAAAAACGGTCAGACCCGAAATCGGAACCACGCTTGCAGTCATAGCTAAATTTCGTTGCTTTTGAGGCAAAAGTTTTGATTACTCAAAATATGACTCTGAATTGAAAAGTGGAAACTTTTCGGCCACTAACTTAAAGCTTAATGCGTGTGCGAAAGCCTTCAGGGTATCCTTTTATCTTAAGGCAAACTCATAAGTGTTTCAAGTGCTCGTCCATTTCGTATCAATTATTCACTAATTAATAATAATAATAATTTTTAATTGTGTCTGGTTGTTTAATTGTAATTGCATTACCTAATTCAGAATGCATAATTTATTGTTAAGTGAGTGTTAAAGGGACGATTTCACTAAAAATGTATAGTGTGTCGTCCGCTATTAAATGAATTACCCAAAAATGCTACATTTTGGTACGACAATTATAGACTAGCTGCATAATAATGCTGCGTCCAAAGTAATCATCATTCACAATAGTTCGTTAATGTGATATTAATCAGTCCCTGTTGTTGTTTTACAAAATACTCGCGTCCCATTTTTTATGCCTCGAATAGGGTATGTTACGTTTGTAAAACCAGAAGTACCAGAGACTCTATAAAAATATATGAATAAATGACCAGCGTGTCGAGCTAGGTCGGTTTAACCAGTATGATATTTACACGAACTAGTTGAGATTTCGATCTGAAATTTTGCACACGTCTTTTCTCCAAAAAAAAAAAAAATGTACTTGTCGGAAACGTAAAATATTGGACCATTATATATTAGTATATAGCTGCCATACAAACTGAACGTTCAAAATCAAGTAATAGTACAGAAACTGCCTAAACTCATTAAAGAGTAGTTGACATATGCACGAAATTATTTTAATAGTTTTAGTCGTAAATGTCGGAACTGTAGATTAGGCTACTTAAATAAACTAAAAGTAATCATTATATCGGCTACTTCAACAAATGTGAAGTATTCATTAAGTGATAATAAATCAGAAATTTATAGCCGGCGATAAGCTCGCGAGTTAAAACCTTTAAAACACACAATCATGGACACAGAGTTCCAGGAACACGTTCGTTTCGCAAGCGATTAAAACGTGTGTTAGAAATTAGATTTAATTTAGAAATATACGAGACAAGTTTTTGCTTGTTTTTTTTTCAAGTTAAATTTCACTAAACACGCCCAACATAATTAATATTCCATCAAAATAACTATTAAAAACAATATTGTACATGCTGCTCATCGCCTACTATCGACATATGACTTACCTGGGACGATTCTGCATAAAATGCTGTCCGCCAAATATCACCAACATATAAATGCCACAATAGTAGAATACCCAAGTCCAATTCTCGACCATCCATTTGCGTGTGCGTTGGTGGATAAAATCATTTTCGAAATCGAAAATGTACGAATAATTCGGTGTTACGCTAATGTCCATGTTGATCATATTTATTAATTATTTTTTTATATTTTCTTATTTAATTTATTTTATTATTGACTGGGTAACTCTTTGGAACGTTCTAAGTATTGGTTTGTTGTTATTTCACCTAATGTAGGTTTACTGCTTTTTAAAATTATGTACAATATTTTTAGTTATAGTATGTGACAATGCGTGCTTTAAGCAATTTTCTCTTTAAAATAATTGTCTTCCAATTTACGGCGATATTTGCGAAATTTTATTGTCGACTGACGGCGGCTGCGTTTAATTTCTGTAAAAAAAATTTAAGACAGTAAAATTAATGCTATTTTTAATAAAGAATTTGTAGAAGAGTAAAGCGTAGAGCCTAATTTAGTTGAGGATAGAGCTTAAGAACATATGTATAAATATAAAATTCTTGAATTCCTCAAACCAGAAGTCAAAATTTTTTAATAGGAGCTCTCTTGCATTTGCATCTTATTGGCATTATACTTTCATGTGAACTTTTAGTAGATAGTTAATTTAGATATTTTATCAGAATATGTTTATCCAATACATATTCATACAAATTGACATATTAGGCATTTTCCTATATATGTACGTTCTTGTAATGAATTTATTCTCTTTTGAAATGGGATTTAAAAAGAAATAGAATTACTGCATCCTTTAATTATATTTTCAATGGCTGGACCGATGGACCTAAAATTTTCAAGCCATCCTCTATATTTACATATCTTTGTCAGCATAAATTTTTTCACAAGAAACGGTTTTTTGTATTAAGTCGCCGTTTTGTCAAAAATAAAAGTTTCCACTAGTTCTTCGATCATTACTATGTATTCTTCTTTAGTACTACTAAAATCATCAACGAAATCAAGAAAATACACAATATTTCAAAAAGAATCAATCAGCCATATCTAATGAATAGATCGACTACTTATAAACGCTTATCTTGGTGCTTAGAAACCGGCGATATAAGTATGTGCACATGTACATATGTCTCTAACTTACATCCTTTACGCAGCTCCTGCGGAACACACAGGATATACTTAGAAATGTGCATCTTTATTTAAGTGTACGTGCCCACGCAATCTGGTCGTACACATGTGCCTATGTATGTACATGTACATATATATGTACGTATATACTTCACACATGCAAAAAAATATACGTATATTCATTCATACATATATAAGACAGTGGGTATATACATCTTTATGTTTTTATGAACGCTCATTCAATGTCAGCGGCTTTGGGCATCCTCCCTGATGGCGTACATACTCCACACTACTTGGCAGCGAATCCACAAACAAAGCCGTCGCTTTTGCGGCAGAACAACAAGGATTTTAATCGATAGATGCTTAAACTGCTGCCGTACGACCTTGAACGTGAAGCACTCACACAACTGAAGTATATTTGAGCAAAAGTGTGTATTGCGCCCTCATTGGGTAATATTTTTAACACTTCAGTTATCGCTTTTCAATCATTATACCCTGAACAGGGAATATTAAAGTTTATCACGAAGCTTTTAACACCCAGAAGGAAGCGTCAGAGACCCTATAGAGTATATATATCCATGTCCGTCTGTCTGTCTGTCCGTCTGTTTGTCTGTATATATACGAACTAGTCACTCAGTTTTTAMGATATCGTTTTGAAATTTTGCAAACATCATTTTCTCTTCAAGAAGCTGTTCATTTGTCGGAACTGCAGATATCGGACCACTATGGGATATAGCTGCCATACAAACTGAACGATCGGAATCAAGGGCTTGTATGGAAAACTTTCGTATTTGACGTGGTATTTTCACGAAATTTGACATGGATTACTCCGAAAAATTGTTCAGATCGGATTACTATAGCATAAAGCTTCCATATAAACTGAACATATAGTTACTAAAAGAAATGCACCTTTGAAGTGTATACTTGCTTCGGTGTAGCCGAAGTTAACGTTTTTTTTTTGTTTTTTTGTTTTTTATTATCGTCGTACTGTCTAACGGTACTTGTAAATTTTTTATCATCAGATTGACCGTGTTTCCACAGACTCTGCATCTGATGATAGAATAAACAGTTTTGTTATTTGTGTGGTATGATGAACTGCATCGACGTCGCCCACACGCAAAAGCTGCATAAGCATCATTTATGGCATTATTATTACATTTAATTCAATGGCATTGCTTTTAAACGGAGAGGTCGTCCACAATTATGCTCTTCTGTTCCATTTCCAATCGTTGCAGATTTTTCTGAATGAAATCATTCACTGTTACAACGAATTGCACACACCCAAACTTACGCCCACTTTGTTTGGTGTTCCGTTTCTGCTGTTGCCGTGCACAGCACCATGTTCCACCCTTGTCACATATTATAATTACATCGCACAAAATAAGTTCACCCCCAACATCGGCTCTCTTTACTCTTGTTCGCAAAATTTTTGTACTTTCTTGTTGTTTACATGTGGTGACACACAGTGCTGTGCAAATTTTGAGAATGTGGACTTTAAACGTTTAAACTCCTAAGAAGTCCAACTAAAAAATAACCGAATTATTTTTGTAACTGCATCTATAAGGTGGTCTTTGAAAGAAAATTGTCACAAACAGTTGGATGGCCATTATGTATTTTTCGACTTAAGTTCACATCATGGGGATTATGTGACTTTATTAAGATTTGGTTTCCCCATAACATGTTTATCCTACGAAAGTTCTTATTTTTATTTTGTTTTTATCATGAACTGTAAAAATTTACAGATGTTTGCACAAACATCTGTACCCCCCGCGACTTGAGTCAGCCGCTACATACATATGTAAGTCTCGTGCGAAACTCTGCAGATGTGATGGCAGCAACGAATACAACTGTGTGAAAGAAAGGCGCATCACCTGATCATATAGAATAGAAAAGCTGACCTAGCCGAATAGTGGCTACACAAACTTGGTGAAATGTTGTTGATTTTGTGATTGCTTTCGCAAAATTTCGCAGCAGAATTGGCAACTAAAAAGGCACACTGATTAAGTAAATAACGAGGCAAAGAAAAGAATACGTTAAATAAAACACAAAATCAAAGAAAACCAACTAAATTACTAACTATATTTTTGGCAGACCTCTGCTTTACGTTAACCTAGTACCCATATATGCATAGTACATAGTTATGCGATCAACGTTATGAGATCACCGAAGACTTCATAAAAGAAAAGCGAAACGGGCTTATTACTCGAGCATATACTCGTTTATTTACATACTGTGATCAAATTAATATACATACATATGTATATATTTACTTGTAGGTACCTTTATTTGGTTTTATGCAAACCGAATTATGAAGAAAGCAAAATATAGTTTATATATGGAATATATGAACGCATGTATGTACATACATATGTATGTTATATGTTTATATATGTTATATATGTAAGCACGTTTAGGCAAGTATACATATATTGGTATGTACATATTTGCAGCTTTTGCATGTTTATACGAACAACTCTGAAAATAAAGTTTACCCAAAAGGTGAGAAACAAAGGTACTTACATATACATATGTATGTAGTATTTTTCATATTTCCATTGAAGTCATCTACTACAAAATAAGTCAATTCGTAATATTTCGCCGAAAATCTAATCATACATAGAAATATGTATATATTTATAAGACAACACGCCACCGCAGTCCCTGAAGTAAGAAAGCATTCGGCGGTAAATCATGCATGAACAGTGTGACTAGCAGATGTGATTTTGGGTAACAATATCAAAGTGAGCTGAACTATAATGCTAAAAAGTTCCTAATGGGAATATGGCATAATAGGGGGATTCTCTTGCTCTTGCAAGATTGCAGATTGCAAAAATCCTATACCGAAATATACAAGTGCACGAGAGCACCCATTGCAGATTCTAGTGATATATGAACGGCTGATTCGGTCAACTTTATAATTTAAATAGAAATTATAAAATCTATTTAAAATTTACCTACTTCAACAATTTAACGTCAAAATATGTATTTAAGTAAAATAGCATCTAGCACAGGGTTGCAACTATTTATTTACGTGTCATTGTACGAGAATAAACATGGGTTTTGGTTTGATATATATTGCAAATAATTTTCTGCAAGAGCAAGAGAATACCCCTAGTATTTTTTGGCAGAAGTATGAAAAAAAACTTTATTTTATATATTCGCAAAATTTCATTATATTTTATGGTATGGCTAGTTTCAGCTTAAATAAAAAGTTGTGCAAACTTACAACGATGATATTGAGAAATATAATTAATTTGCGACTAATCAATAAGTTATCACAGAACAGACTGGAAACATGTCCAGACTGTCAAATAGTAGTAATAAGAAGACGATAAAAAATATGTGCTTTAGGTATGGACCACTACAATTTCGAAACTTTTCGGAATAGATAAAGAAGGACGAAAGCCTTTGGACATAAATGAGTGTCAAAACATCATAAAATTATAACCCATGCCATTTTTTATATATTAAAATAAAATTTGTGGGCTGACGGTAATTATTTATCAGATAATTTTAATTTCATTTATTAAAAAATTTAGTCATAAGTACCGTAAATATGTTAATTTAATGTTTAGAATCAGTAAACTACTGAATCACAATTTTCTTTGAAAACACATAATTTACAACAAACCTCACTTAAAAAATTTTTTTTTTTATTATATTAATGTGAGAAGATTTTAATTTTGTTAAAAGAGACAGTTGAGCGAAATATATTTCTTTCAATCCTAATCGAAAATTGAAGTAAAAAATGAAATGTATTACAACCTACAAGTTAATTTTTCTTGAATTTTCAGTACATTGAATACACAGTGCGGGCACTGAAGAAAGTGTCTTTAAAAATATGTGAATAAAAAACTAACATACCGCCAAAATGAAACAAACAAAATATTAGTCGACTAACAAAAATACACATCTATATGCATATACGATGTTAACTGAATTTTATGAAAAATTGCTTCATTCACTTTATTTGAATTTAGGTTAGCGCTTCCAAAACTTTATTGTAGGCATTTTCTGTTTACTAAAATATTTTATTTCTTCCTACAAATACTCTCTTTAATTGTTTGTACATTAGGCGACTTGTACGTTTGACTAGTGCTAACGTGCAAATTTATTGTGTAGTTCGCCGGATTGTGATTTCGTTTTATTGTTGGTGTTTATGTGGATATACATATATACGTATATTACTTTTATCGTCTGTTTGACACTGCCCCTCACTGTTAATATGCTTACTTTTTATTAAAGCTTAGCTTTAGTGAAATATCCGGTTTGTTTTTAACATAATTTTTTTTTTCGTAGCTTTCGCTTGCTATCTGTCTACACACATTTATATCTCCATAAGTGTGCAAATATAATCACAAGCCCGCATTGTTGTAGGTAGGTTTCAATTTAGCGACAGCTAAGGTGAGCCTTCTCAAAGAAATTTTTGCACGATCAATTCAAATAAAAGTAAATATACTTCATACATATCAATTTGCACGCAAATTAACTTGTAACAGTAGCAATCGCATAAAACAAATTAATTTTATATTAAGAACGCATTGATAGAGGGAGTAAGCGAAGTACAGGAAATAAATGTATAAGGAAAAACAATTTATAAATTTAGCTCTTAATGACTGGTATTTATTTTCTTCGTCTATTATCGTAAGTGGATTTATTTTTCACATTTTAATTCATATCGAGCTTCATTACTCATTTTTGCACATGTCGGCGCTTTTTTAATGCCTGTCAGCCGACGTAATCGATAGAATTCACATGTGGAAGCGAGTGAAAAATCCAACAGGAAAAAAATTTCTCCAATTAGATTTTTACTTTACATCCTTTGAAATTTACACACACACGCACATTTGGTATGAAAGATGAATTTGTTTTCACACTCAGTACTCCTTAAATAACATTTAATTTTACTTTAACACAGTAATTTTAATTCGAAGAACTATTAATATTTACTTTTTATGAAGTTTACTATTGAACTTTTCTTCAACGCGTTCCAACACTTTCCCCAATTTTTCTACTGCTTCGGCAGCCGGGTCTGACTGATTGCAAATTGGTGGGAGCTCTATTGAAATACCCCGATCAGTGTTGCTGAGTTATCAGTTTTTCTTCACTCCTATTTCATTTGTGGAACTAAAAGTTAAATGGTGTGGGTCCGGACTAAGCGACTTAAAGTCGTTGAATTTAATAAATTATTACTAGTGTCTTTTTGAATTCAGAAAACTTCTTATTGTGTCACCAGAAATAATGTAAAAATTCTAATTAATTCAAGCAATAAGCGAACAGCAAGCATATCGGGCATGCCAATATTTTCTGAAAAAAAAAAAAAAAATTCAAAATGAACAACCCTGCTCTGTTTACCAAAATTATTAAATTGAACTAAAAATGTAATGTACATATAAATTACGAAAAAATTCTTTAAAAAATTTATATGCGGAATCTATAATCCAAAACTATTAAAAATTGTTATATATATACACATTTTCAAAGAATGGCTAATATGCTAAAATTCTGTTCAGCTGACGCCCCACTCAGAAACAGCTGTTTTTGACAAGCGGTTATTCAATAGCCTTGTGGTGGTCATCAGTTTAGTAGTTTTAAATTTTATTTAAAATATAATTTTTAACTTAGTCTTCAATAAAATTGTAAATAATTATTTTCATTCAAAATGCTGTCATTGCGCACGCTACTGCGAGGTAGTCGTTCTTTAGTGATAATTAGTCAACAAGGTGTAAAAAGTGTCACAACTTCAAATGTTAATTTTAATACTCGTCTTTTGGCACCAATTTGCTGTTCGAAAGTTCCACAACACACAGTTGACGCGCAACAACATCGATTGTACGCTTTCAAAGCAAGCTCTACCACCAAACCTAATGAAGTTGAAAATATACGAGTTTATTATGGCAGTTTGGCGCCGAGGATGAGAGCTGTAAAAGTATTTTCCCTTGTCACCAGCTTGGCAGGTTTGGCCGCACAACCGATACTATTGGAACAAGGCTTGAATATGGGTGGCAAACCGATGGCTGCATTTCTGTGTGGTTTTGCTGGTTTCTTCACATTCGTGACACCGCTGTTATTGCATTTTATCACGAAAAAATATGTTACAGAAATTCATTATAACCCAAAATCGGAGGAATACACGGCAACAACAATATCAATTTTACTATTTAAGATTAAGGTTTGTGAAAAATGTATGTCTGAAAAACACATTATTGTAAACAATGAAAACTTTTTACTTGCAGACTACATTCAAGCCAGATGATGTTAAGGTTCCTGAAGTTCCTGGAATGTTTACATCATTTGTAGTACATAATAAACCTCTGTTCGTTGATCCTGCCCTCTTCGATGATCCTGAACACTATGAACGTATAATGGGATATGATAAGCCAGTGGACTACAAATTAGATTTAACTAAATTGGACAAAACGAATAAAAATAATCAGTGAATTTGTAGAGCAATAAATTAAATGAATTTAGAAAAGTGAAGCCGTTTTTTAATATATTTCCACAAACTTACAGCATTTAATTCTGGGTGGAAAATATATCAGATAGCGGCTAATATTTTACCACTCTAGGCATTGAAAGGGTACTTTCATTTTTTGATAGTTTGTCTAGATGGGAAAACACTATTGGAGTTAATTCCAAATAATAGTTCAAATAAGTAGAAACTCTGAATTTGATTGCCTTTCATTTATGTATGTTTATTGGATATGTGATTATTTATTTCGAGGTTTTACATTGCTTTTAAAACTATGATAGCCACAGCTCTATAACTGTTAGAAACAGCTGTTTATTTGTTTACCTAAATTGTACTTTACATTCTCTGGCTTAACCAAGTGTGTCTAGATTATTTCTCAGGAAGAAAGTATAGTAACATTATTAAATAAGTTAAAAGTTGTAATGTCCAAGAGCGACCTTAATATATTTTTAGAATTTAGGTGAGTATATTTTATTTACAAATATTTGTTTTGCCGTACTTTAACAGCTCACAATTTTAGTGCTGGCGCTGAATTACTATTTGGAAACATTAAGAGTCGGCAGGTAACATTGAATGGTGACGAAAAATGTGAGTAAACTACAAATATATATTATTTCAGCGTTAATGTCTTATAAATTAACATTTCAGGGACCATACGTAAGCTGCTCAAGTGGATGCACGCTAATATTTTGACAGAGCGTCCAGAATTGTTCATACAAGATGATTCAGTGTAAGTTCTCAAATTGATAGCTATTTAGTAAGATGTTTGAGGCGTAAGCTCAGCTAAGCATCTACACATTGAAACAAATATTTTGTTAAATATTGCTAATGAGTTGTCGCTTTTGTTTTGTTATTATGCAGGCGCCCCGGCATATTGGTGCTTGTGAACGACACGGATTGGGAGTTACTTGTAAGCGTTTTCGAATTCATGAAATTATTGTTAATATTGTTATTGTTGCTATTCTTCCAGGGTGAACTAGAGTATGAAATACAACCGAATGACAACATCCTGTTTATTTCGACGCTGCATGGCGGATAGCTCCGAATGGACCATAGCATTTTGATATCTGTACAATTCAATTTTTTATATATTTGTATGCTAAATTAAAAAAACGCACTTTTAGCCCTTAATTTTTGCATAAAATGAATACTTCCACGGGGAGATATTAAAAAACAGCGGGAAATAACATTGATCTGTTTTATGGTTAGCAATATAAATATCTATGCCTTGGTTTGTGTATTCGCTGCAATAACTGGTGTGTGTCTTGACTATTTTAATAGTACTTTATAGCTACTATCACATTGCAAATAAATTTTAAATGCGTTTTGATGGCGCAAAGCTAGCGTGCTGGTCTTTTGAATCGTAATGCTTATGTTCAAATCCCACGCGCGCAAATTATTCCGAGTGTGTTGTGCAGTTTTTAATGATGTAAAATTTTACTCCCGAATAACCATGTAGGCCTTTGCCGCTTGCGACGAAGGGGACGTAATGCTGACAATAAACTGTGCGTTATTTTTGCCTCAAAAATAAATTTTCCAACTGTTGGTTTCATTGAATGTAAAAATTGCTTATGAGGTTATTATTTATTTTATTTAAGAAAAAAATGCACTTTTTTAATTTAAAATTTTTATTACATTTTCTTTATTTTTGCTGAACATGCAACTTATACTGGTAAATACATATGTATATACACACGGCAATGTGTGTAGTAGTGATTACAGCAATTGAAATATTTATTACGCAGATTACATAATTTCCAATTCGATAAAAAAAAAATAACAGTACACGCATTATAATGAGGATGTCGTATATAGATACATATGCACTAATTACTGTAAAACATATACCTTACTTTGTGATACGAAAATGTGACTATGCTAGCGAACTTTAAAGTATTGAATGTTGCGAAAAATCATAGATTATTTCAACTGTGTCTACATTGTACAAAGCCATTTGCATAAATATTAAAGCTTATGGTAATTTTATTAGACAATTCAAAATGTAGTAAATTCCAATTTTATTATTCACGATAATTCTTGTTGTTGCAAATAAAAAATTGACACTTCCAAAGAGAATTCAAGATAATTCAGGACTACATATAACACTTGTGAGTATGTGTGTGTGCAAAAATTAATTATACATGTGTTGGGGCTTATTAAAACTGTTTCGTGGCTTTCGTATATAATATTTTAAGTATTTAAAGCGAAAGGCATATAGCACTGGTTCAAAGATTTACAACTACATACATATTATTTAACAATATTTTATTTTGTTTTTACTTTTTGCCTTTTATAATATGCTTTTATTTGTAATGAAAATGCTTGAAATGTATTTCTGTTTATTTTTGAAACAATAATTGGGGCGCGTACTTAGTTGGCTGTGGCTTAGAACTAAAACTATGAACCAATTAAAACGAAAAATATACAACAAAAACAACAAAAAAAAAAGAGATAACGTACAACGTATGTATGTAAGCGCCATTTGTATGTGTTTCTATGTATGTATTCTGAAATTTAATTTTATTGTTGTTGTGTGTACACATAAAAACACTTTGCATTTAATTATCGTATTTCACTAATTCCATTAATTATAAAATTATTGCTAAGTTTTTTTTTTGTTTTTGTAATGGTTCGGTACTATGTGCTGTTTTAACCTCGTTTTTTCTCAGCTTTCGTGCTTTTCGAAATTTCGCGGAAGGTTTCGCCTCGCCCGCAACTACGGATCGCATTGGTCGGCAATGCTTATGCGTTCCGTTAAGGCCGCTTGTGTTGATTGTTGTTGTTGTTGCTGCTGGTTGAGTTCCTTGTGGTGGTGATGGTGTTTCAGCAGATGGAAGCGATGGCGGCGGAAAATCACGGTGCTGTCGCCGACGTTGGCCGCGGTGCTGCTGGCGTTCGGCGATGATTTTGTTGTAGCATTCAACCAGCTGGTTGTGACATCCGTTGGCTCGTGATCGGGCGTCATTGAGATGTCGGACAGTATGCCGCTTTCTGCATGATGGAGACATGATTGATTTTCTTTTTGCAAAAATTATAAACCGTTAGTGGAAATAGTGTGTGGAAGTCAAGTGCAGAGACACGGTAATACAAATCCATGCATACAGAATGATAGCGGTTGAAAATTATTTACATTTTGGAATTTTGAAAGCATAGCGAATTTTAAAAACAACTAATAATACTGATAAATAAAGTTGAAATAACTGACAAACACACATACATACATATGTACATGCACTTGAGCGTGTGTTTGTGTAAGCCAGGCTTAGACTGCAAGTTGTGACAGCCATTTTTCGATTTTACAAAAATAATACCTTAAATATAACTGTACAAATAGTTTTTAGCTAAGAACCCGGTTAGTCAAACATAACCTTTTAACAGAAACACTAAACTAAAAACAAATAAAATTTAACAAATACAACAAACAAGAAGCATTCAGAAAAAATAACTCAATTCAAGCTCAATACCCATGGAGAGTTGACTGACAAGCGTGGTTGAGCGTTTGGCGCGCGCCGAGCTGCCATTTCCGACGCCACTCTTTCCGCTGCCGCTGCGACCGCTGTGACCGCTGCTGCCACTGCTACTCAGCGTATTTGTGTTCGTGCTGCTGGCGGACGCATTCGCCGCCGTTGCACCGCCAACACCGCTCAGCGTGAGAGTTTGCGTCTCGTTGATTAGCTCCAGTGCATGATGGCTGCTGACAGCGCCCGGCGATGTTTTGCTGTTGCAGGCGTTACCAACCACGCGCTCGTGGCCCGACGAGCTACCCGTGCTGAGTGAGGAACTGCTGGTGCCGCTCGACAGTGAACTCTCGGAGATGAAGGAACTGGGCCGACGTGCATCCTTCTTGACATCCAATTGCATGCCGGCGAAGGAGTGACGCAGTTTAGGCGCTTTAATGAGAGGACAGTGGAGTTAGTTTTCTTATCAATACTTAAGCGTTCAGCTCTTACCTTTGCCGAGCTGTGATATTGTTATGGAGCGATCGTTGATTTGATTGTTGCTGGGGCGTATGTCGAGACATGGCTTGCTCCCGATTCCCATCGAAGACATTTCGGCTAAGCGAATTTCTGAGAATTACATAAAGGGGAAAATGTTATTTTCAAATAATAGTAACGGGTTCAATAACAGAGATGCTAGATGAAAACTCTTACTTCCCGAATGAAATGGAATCAGACAGACTAAACGAAAATTTCAAGTTAGCAAGCAGAAAGTGAACTAGTCTGAAGAAGCGAAAGCTTTCAGCAATAACCAAATGTTTCGTTCAAGCTGTTTTCACTTTCTTAACATCAAACTAGTGGATTTGAAGCCTCCCATTTAAATTACCTCGATTTCGATTCGCTTGTTTCCATAGTAATTTCGATATTTCGTCGGCCCAAGCATTCTTTATGTCCTCCGACATGCACTGCAACGTCCATGTATCTTCCGGTTTACGCTTACGGAACCAAATCTCAAATTTCGTTTTCGAATCGCCCACATGCGCAGTTAATCCGATATCCGACGTCTTAATGCTGTTCTTATAGATATAAATGTCCAAGTTCTGCAGCAGGAAAAAACAATTTTCATTTTTAAATTCTTTTTTTTTTTTGTGATAATTTTCATCAAACGCTAACCTTTTGATCTGGAAAACGGCGCGCCTTACTGAACAGCACCAGATCTTCGAAGAGAAAGACTTGTCGCAGTGACTTTCTGCCGGTACGTCCTTGCCAAACCAGAAATTCATTTTGTCGCAACAGACGCCCTTGTTCCTTCACATTGACATCGCAGTCCCGCAGCGAATCCATAGCCAGCAGGTCATTGCCATGACGCAGTTGAAATTTAACCATTTCTTCAGCGCGGTGCAGTTCTTCCACATCGGCGGCGATCTCTTGTAGTGCGGCACCCTGTAGAGTGAAAAGATCAAGTGACATTAAGAAAGAGAATATGTGGGCAAAGTAGTCGTTTTGCAGATTGTAAATATAATACTATTTAGTGGGTTTACTTATGACTTAGGACTTCGAAGAAGTGAAATGTTATTGCTGCATACCACAATTTGGAAGACATAGATTCGGCAACGGATTCCTACCGTAAAAGTGAAATTTATTAGTCTCCCCCCTTAAGATTTACGACATAATCGACAATGAGACGAAATATTAAACTCTGGTTGATTTTTTCCCCCATTTCGCGAACTATTAGTCATTAATGTTTTTGTGTGCAAATTGTAAAGTTATTTTGCAATCATCTCCGAATCATTCCAGTGTAAAAGTAGTCGAAAATTCAATAAAAGCTCTAACATTCACTTTATGAATGAAGGCTTTTTATTTCACTTAATTTTTGAGGGACTAATCAAAGCTCGAAATTTAACTTACCTCAACGGAATTGCAAGCTTTGACCAATTGTTGCAATAGTAAGGCATATTTTCCCATACGCTGTACGGGCTTCAGTAAATACGAGGCCAAGTCCATCTTGTCATTCAATTCGAACTGTTTGGACTGTTAATAGAGAAATACATAAGAGTTATATTAGATTATAAGTGACACCCACTTCCATTGTGGGGAAAAAGCATTTTTAAATATTTAACATTCTTGTAGCTTTCGTGCGAGCTTTTCAAAAACCTTCACGGGGTAATTAAATGAAATAAATTTCTAATTTTGGTTTAAGAAAAGTCCGAGAAATTCACTCACCTTAAAGAATGCCGTGCCGTATTCACTCATTAGCGTATCACTTTTCGGTTTGTTCTTGTTGTAAAGCGCATACAAATAGAATTTAGACTCCATTTCCAAGAAGGCGCTGCCAACCTTCAACGGATTGCGCTCATAACGTTCCAGTTCATTGAGAAAATGCCATTTGTGGAATTCGAAGATCTTCTCAATGTTGCCGAAAATGACATTACGTTGGCCGCGTAACGGCTGCGGTATGTCTTCGCGCAACAACTCGTCAACATAGTTTTCAATGACATAATTCAACGAGTGTACATAGTCGCGTTCCGTGCCAATCATTTCACGCATGATCAATAGAAGCGTTCTACAAAATACAATTCAAAAACGAAATAATGAAGACGCATAAGGTTAGTGCTTAAATGAATACAAAGAACCGAACAAACGACAGCTTACTTTTGTATTTTCGGATCCAAGCAACTGATTTCATCCAATTTTGACAATTCCAAACTTGAGGCGTGGTACTGCAGATGCGCATTCGCCTCCATGGGCGAGTGTATGTCATTATAATGTTTGATGGGGCGCTCATAGCACTCGAAATCAAGCTCATCGCTGTTGAGACACGAACTATTTAAATTTGAACACAAAGTCATGCCATCGACGCTCGCAACATACCTCTTGCTGTACAAATTGACCGCTTCGTTGAGGCTCTGGCACGAGCAGACGCGCGTTAACTTCAGATTTCCTTCGCAGCGCTCACAGCCGCCCACACCGGAATCGGCAACCTTTGATTGCTCCTCCTCGCCATCCTCCATTTCGAGTTCCTCACCGTCTGCATCCAGCATTTCATCCATATCCTCCATATTGCGACTCTCACGCCAACACTGACATGTTTGACCGTCAAATGAACCGATTCCCGAACTGGAGCGATGACTAAGGCGATTCATGCGCGGCAGCGGTGTACTCGTTATAACGGCGACATGTTGCAGTTGTTGCTGCAATTGTTGTTGTTTGGTTAAGCTGTTGGTGGTGCTATTGCTGCGATAGTTGAGCGTGAGGTTAAGACTATTTGGTTTATTGTTCTTATTGTTGTTGGTTATTTCTGTGATTTCCGTTTGGTCTGTCGTCGGCTCATCGTTACTGTTTTCTCGCTGTTCCTGACGGAATTTCTCAAGCAATTGAGTGGCGCCTGAAATTTGGGCCAGCCGTTGCGCCTCCTGTAGCAAGTGGGCCTCGAGCTGGTGTGTCAGCAGTAGTTGATATAGTCTGGTTGCTGCTTCTATGCGTTCTCGCGCCAACTCAAGTTTTTCAGCGAAGCAATCGAGCGCGGACTTCAGGTTGACGGCGCTCTCGCGCAGCGGTTCAATGTTGACTGCGGCATCATGCAGATCGCGGCCCTTGGCCAAGTGTTTCTAAAAGGGTGAAAATCAGTTATTTATTATATACTGATAAGTGTTCTACGTACAATGACTAAGTGAATTCTTTTTTTCTAAAAGCGACTTAACTCTAAATAGGCATATTTCACGACCGGTCTTCGGTTCTACGCTTTTCTAAACTTGAGCATCCTTTCCCCATGAGAAGCTCGAATTCAAACATATATCTCAGAGTTCCAACAGCAGGCCGACGGAAAGTGGCAAACAATTTTTATCTTTCAAGCTGTTAGAGACCTATTCAGCTATAAATATTGGTGTTAAGCTCGAGTTTACTATCTGATATGTACTTGAGTTAAAAACACGAACTTCGGGTTTCTCTTCATGGGGATTCTTTTATAAGTCCCAGAGCCATGAACGAAAAGTATAAACTGTATTGGAGTTTGACTTGAACATTTAGAAAAATGTAGGTTCCGAGACGGACATAAATAAATGGAATCGGTAAGGAATAGTTGAGTATGTTGGCATGTCCTTATCTTTGGAGCACACTTGGGGGTATTCCAAATTAATTTTGCTTTAGGTATTTGTACAAGTACTAGAGAGCAGGAACTTACAACGTGCACGACTAAGAAATATTGGGAAAGTATAGACGGTGTGCCGTTTCTGACTTCCCAACGGAAGATAAGCGCTTAGCACAAGAGACTGATGTAGATTTAACAGTTTAAGAATTACATCTAATTCCCTCTGACAGAAGGTCTAATCTGATGGCACATACATATTTACAAAAACAAAATATATTAATATACTCTTAAAATACATTTACACTTTTCATTTTATAACAGTTATCATTTTTCTGATGTAATATTTATATATCCTCTTATCATTTCCAATCTAATTGAGGGTTTCTACACTTCTCGTTTTGTAGTAGCAAAGTGTAAATACGCGTATTTATACTTACCATCGAAATGAAATAATATTTTTCGAACTCTTGCTCCTGCTCTTTAATGGCGGATTCAGAATCCAACTGAAGACTGCCGAACCGTTGCAGCGTATCATTGCCGTCACTGGTGATCCAAGATGTTACCTGCAATTTGAGAAAAACGATTGCAAATTAGATTCAATAAAAAGGAAAAATACTGAAAACAATGAGACATTTTTTGTTTATAACCTAAAAACTATAATTTTTACTTGTTTCTTATAAAGTTGGTTGTCCTCCGTAATTTTGGGATTATTACTACACAACTAGGAGAAAATGTGTAATCTGATCAAATTTGACCCGGACTAAAAAAAGTCTTTAATGGTAAAGCCTTAAAAATTGCCTCCTTTTGAACCAATACAACCATACGTAAGCAAAATCCAATGTTGTGAGTTCTTATTATAAAGGGTGTCCTTCAGTTTGCCTCCAGCAAATTTTGGTTTTATCGGCTTCAATTTTTTAATCCCCATTCCCTAGCTTGTTGGACATTTTTAACGTCCTTATCATAAATCTACCTCTTACCACCAGTGATGAGTCTTATATTGACACGCAGCATATCTAAAATATTGGGTTGTCGGAAAAGTATTTTCGTATTTTGTCGTTGCAGTAGTACAAGTATATCTGCAGTGATACCAATCACATTATGTCATACCATATAGTGTTGGAGAGGTGAAATTTTAAGCTTCATTGAAACAAACTTAAATTTGGGGAATTTGAAAAAAGGTGCAGCTATTCAGAAATGAGTGAAAATAATGGAGAAATTCGCTATATTTTTAAATTCCTTTATAAGAAAGGGAAGGATGTCACGCAAGCCACCATTGAAATTTGGGAAGTTTACGGAGACGCTCGCTTCCATTCTGGAAATTTCGAAATTTCCATTTACACTGAAGGAATAATGTCTCTAGCGCAAAATGGCAAAAAGTGGTCGGCCAAAATGGTACATACATACATATTTGTTTATTTATATATTAGAATTAATATATAACAAAATTAAGTTAAATTTTGATGAGAAATACGAAAGACTTTTTCAACTACCCAATTTTAACCAAACCCTGTCGAGACAATCGGCAAGCTAACTGACATTGGGTTATCGAATTTCACTTGAACATGAAAAAAGGTTGTACCAATCCAAGAAAAAAAAGTGTTTTGCTTCATTTTGGGCGCGCATTTAAATGGACCAATCCGAGTCAAATTTGATCAGATGTAACGTTGCTCTTTAGATCGACTACGTCTTTAGCCTAAGCATTTGATTATATAAACAGGTGTGAAATAAATAAATTATTATTTTCTATTTTCAGATAGCATTTATCTGGTTGACGAAAGAAGACACAAGATAAAATGTAATCTTATCATGCAGATTTTGAAAAAGCAATTAATTTACAAGTATTTAAATAGTGTTATTTATAGAAAGCAAGGTAATGTTTAACTTTCTTCTTTTATACGTATAGAGAACAGCTCTTAAGATTCTCAGTGATATCATATTTGATAAGAAGGGTTTCGTTTCTTTTTGTTATTGTGTAGTTACCAAACGCGTGATGTAATTTGACCCCTCTTTAAATAAATAACAAATTTTTAACTATTTTGAGGTTTGCAAATTGAGGCAAGTTACAAAAAAGTATTTCACATATTCCACATACATACATGTATGTATGTAAGTGCTGTAGCAAAAACAACCAAAAAATTTTAGCCTGACGCTTTGTAAATAACATAAATACCTTGCAATTATTCTGTTATGCTATGCTTGCCCTCACATGAGTATTTGTAGGTGTATGTGTGTGAGTAGATGTATATGCAAGTATGTGTGGGTATATCAGTGTTTGTTGTTATAAACAGTTAGTTAAAGCTTATATGTATACTCATTATATGTATACTCATAAAATTAATATTTGATAAGGAATGGAGGCACTCGATTTTTGAAGAGCTGTAAGGTGGCGTGGGGCTTCAGCGCGCATTTTATGGAATTAATGTTAATTGCAAACGAGAGTTACTTCAAAATATAATTTTTTCAGAAATGTTAAAATTTGTATTCCAAAAAAATTTTTGTAAAAATTATTTGTGTTTTGTTTACTATTTAATATTTTTGAACTAACAGTTGTGGAAAAAGAATTTTTTGAAACTTACATTAAAGTTAAATATAATAATTTTTCCTATATCAACTACAACTATTTGCATACAAAACCATTGCATTGTTAAAAAACCCGGATAAAAAGACTAAATATTTTTAGTTTCACAAATTATAAAAAAAAATATTGTTGTTATTTTTTTGAATTAATTTAATTATAATTTTATATTAATAAAAAAATAAAAAAACTTTTAACCTAAGGTAAGTCTTACCATATTTACTGATAGTGTAAAACAAATGTTAAAAAATATATGTGTACATATATCAATTTAGTCAATTAAAAAAATGTTATTTAATTTGTGTCAATTAACGTTCGTGGAGAAAAAATTTTTGAACCACTTTTTAAGGAAAATTTTTTTCTACAATTATTTGAATAACAAAGCATTATTTTGAGTAAAATAATATTTTCATTAAAAAAATTAAGAATTATA